TATATATATATATATATAGTACTAGAAATAAAGCTAGATAATCTTTTGACCTAAGAATAGATAAAAGTCTAGTTGTATTGGATATTGGTGAATTGCACATTAACGATGTCTAAAACATAATGTGTGCATATGCATGCATGAAAATGTATGTATGAACAAAAAAATATTTGCTCATAGTTGTTAGCTTTTTATATGTATTATATTAATTGATAGAAAAATTTGGCTTAACTCATAGCATATACATATATATATATATATATATATATGTGTGTGTGGGTGTGTATGTGTTCAAACAAACTGTACTTTAACAAATGAAAATATATTGTTATCAATGGTATTTTGTAGTTTTATCCTACCATCTCTCAAAATGTTATCAGAATAAAAAGGATAATTTTTATTATTTAAAATATAGTCAATAGAATTTTTTTTATCGCCATCGATTTTGATGAAATAATATTTTTTTTCGGATTACGATTTTTCCTTGAAATAGTCTTTTTATAAATCATTTAGTGTCACAAAATCGCACTGAATATTTCGATTCCAAACAAAGAGTTTGAGGTTTTAACTTGAGATAAACAATATTTAGTGTCACAAAATCGCACTGAATATTTAGTATTTGTTTTGGTAGTGTAATTAATATTTAGTGGAGGGGAGAAACTTAGAATTAAAAAAAAACAATACATTGGTACATTTTTTTTTTGCGAGAAAATGATAAATGAAAGCCGTTATGGTCACCGCACAATGACCAAATTAAGATATCATACAAAAAAAATTATATAATAAAGAACTAGCCTGTAATTTAATACACCTTTAAAAAAAATCGATTAAAAAGCTATATCGTCTTACCATGTGTGTGAAAAAGATTTCCATTATCGACCAACCAAATGAAACTCATTCACCTTCTCCACACGTCTCTCTCTCTCTCTCTCTCTCTCACAATCTCTCTCTATATATACAAACTTCATTTCCTTCCCTCTTAATGCCTCTCTACAAAAACCCTTCAACCCTCTTCACATTTTTCTTCCGATTTTCACAATCATTACCGGTTCTTCTTGATCTCGGAACCGGAATAGAAGAAAACGGAAGAAATTGAAAACGAGAGAGAGAGAGAGAGATTTTGGAAATGGTGAAGTTCTCGAAGGAGCTCGAGGCTCAGTTGATACCCGAGTGGAAAGAGGCATTCGTCAACTACTGGCAGCTGAAGAAACAGATCAAGAAGATCAAACTCTCCCGTAAACCGAAACAATCTTCTCATTACACCGACGCTCGCTCCGATTTCGGACGCTCTCTCCTCGACCCCCTCCGCAAACTGGCCGAGAACTTCTTCTCGGCCCGCGAAAAACCCGAGATTATTCAGGTAAATCATATTAGAGATATATACGAATATCGCTGATATCATCGTGTTGCAATGAATATAGATTGAAAAATGGTGCGTGTATAGGATGTTGTGGATGGCATTTTGACGTGTGATCGTTTGGTTTAGTGGAGAGAGAAAGTTTATTAGGAAAACGAAATGGTTTTTTTTTTTAAATAATTTTTTTTAAGGTATGTAATTGAATTATTTACTTTTATAAATGTTTCATGCATTAATTCAATTCTGTAAATGGAGTTTTGTGTCCTCCTTGGTCCGTTTTCCAGTCTTGTCGCGTCTTTTTGTTTACGCGACAAAATACCAGAATTTCTACTTTGTCTGCAAATTTCAGGAGATATCCGCTTTCTGTTTCTCTTTCTACGAAAAATGGGAAGACAGAGATATTAGTTTCAATTATTTTATTTATTTAGTATCCCACAATTTAAAAAAAAATAAATCATAATGTCATTTATACATTTAATGAACGATTTAAAACACTATACAACAAATAGTAAGACCCTCCAAAAAAATCAGTATATAACAAGTGGGCTTTTCCTCTTTTTCTTTCAGGCGCTGAATTTCGTGCTGAGAGTGGCATGACTCTTTCCTCTAATCATTACGCATTATTATTTCGTTTCTTCCTCGTATTAATTAGTCCCTACGCGTTAATCCCCCCAAAAAAAAGGGTTATTCCCTCATTCTATCACGAAAGCGAACGAGGAAACGGTTATGGCGACGGTGATATAATCACGAAACCATCGTGACGAGCGAAACAACCTCTCTCTAAAATAAAAATATATTTAAAAAATCGAATTTTTTAAATATAAAAATGAACCAATCCTAAGGTTGTTGTCGGATTTAAATATTAATTCAAATTTAAAGTGTAAAAAAAACGAATAGCTCACTTTTATGTCGGTTTTTGGGAATTCGCAGGTGAGAAGAAAGAGTTCGGAGGATGGAGATGACGACGATGAAATTTACCAAACTGAACTTGTTCAGTTATTCTCCGAAGAAGACGAGGTATATATATATATATATATATATACACGTATGTATACGTATATGTATGTCTTGGTTATTAATTATATTAATTACTTAGTATCTAAGAACTTCTGAATTCTAATATATCAGTAGTCTTTGATCGACTCGGATTACTTTTTTTTTTTCCTTTTTATTATTGCGCAAATTGATAGTGCTTTTTTTATTGACGGGAGCGATAATTAAATGTCTTTCTATAAAAAAAATTAATAAAAACACGAGCCGCTTATTAAATTTAGCAATTTCTTAAACAAGCTATTTTTATAATATAATAATACTTTTTTTTTAATTATATCACGAACACTAATTATTCATTTTTCGTAGGTGAAAGTATTTTTCGCGAGATTGGACGAAGAATTGAATAAGGTGAATCAATTCTACAAATCGAAGGAAGCAGATTTTCTTGAGAAAGGAGAATCTCTCAAGAAACAATTAGAGATTCTCGCGGAAATCAAACAGATTCTAAGTGATCGGAGGAGGAGAAACGGGTCGGGATCTTCACATCGCTCTTGGTCTTCTTCCGCTCGAAATTCTGATTTTTCAGGTCAGTTTATATATATATATATATATGTGTATGTATGTATGTATATATGTATGTATGTATGTATGTATGTATGTATGTATGTATGTATGTATGTATGTATGTATGTATGCTTTGCGAAACTCGAAGACGCAAAATCTTGGAAATGATTTTAGGGTGTCGACAATTTCGCCTATGTGGCCGACAAATAAATGAAATGAAAATAATAATTGGTTATAAAGGAACAGATTTTGTGAGTAAGTAGACGAAATTGGACCAAACATCAAATCTTCCCAACAAGACCAGGGTCTTCAAATTTGACATGATTTCTTCTCTTTTAGATCTCGTTTCTTCTAATACGTGTCTCTTTATATATATATATATATATATATATATATATATATATGACATCCATATTAATAATTATTGAATTAATAAATTTTTGTTTAGGGGGGTTTAAATGCCATATTTTTAGTCTTTGAAACAAATTTCTCTTGGGAAATATTTCGTTTTGAAATCTAGGGTTTACTTTTATAAGACTGTCGCATATACTAACTATAGCTTATCCAAATATTTGATTTATTAACCTAATATATATTAGTCGTGAATTTTATAAATTTACTAGGCTCTATACCAATATATCGGACCGTGAACAAGGTAATTAATATGAACATGATCTATTTAAGCTAACTATATATGAAAATGCCCATTCATCAAATAGACATGCGCTACAACCAAATTTTGACATATATAATTTGTGCTTTTGTTATACATCGTTCAAACGTATTAATCGGTTGCACGTACATAATCCAACTGGTTTTCTTTAAAATAGTTTCTCTTAAATATCTTTAATCTAAATCCGGGATTAAATTACGCAATCCAACGATCCAAAATCGATGCAGGATCTCCGGGGGAACTAAGCGATTCACAGAGCGAGGCATCAAGAACGGAGGAAATCATAGAGGCGTTGGAGAGAAACGGAGTGAGTTTCATAAACTCGGCGACGAGGAGCAAGGCCAAGAACGGGAAGCCGAAGATGGCCCTCCGAGTCGACCTTCCTGCCCCGCCCCCCGGAACCGGCCCTCCCCGGTCCATCTCGGCCGTCACGTCCGTTCTCTGGGAAGAACTCGTCAACAATCCCCGCCCCGGCAACGGCGGAGGCGACTACGTCAACCGGAAAAAGATTCAATGCGCCGAGAAAATGATAAGGAAGGCCTTCGTCGAGCTCTATAGAGGCCTCGGCTTGTTGAAGACTTACAGGTAATTTCTCGTCTCTCCTTTACACGTTATTTTATTTAAAATTACGAACAGTTAGAGTTATATATTACAAAATTATATTTTTTTATAATATATTCAAACTATAAACTAATTCTATTAAAACACTAACACTAATCTTATCATAAATATAACTCCATAAATAATTCTAATTCTCCGTAATTTTCAATATATATTTTATTATGTATTTTTATGATGATTCTATTTTATTTTATTTTTGTTCAGCTCATTGAATATGGTGGCTTTCACAAAGATTCTGAAGAAATTTGACAAGGTAATCAATAATGTGGTCTCTTGCTTTAATGATAAATACATGGAAAAGTGGGTCCATTGGTCGTGTACACCGATTACAAAATTTTTCATGTCCTTAATTACATATATAACAATTGGAAAATTTTATATAAAACTATATAATTCAAGCGTGAAATTATTCAAGATTTTATAATGCAAGTGATGATATATGTGGACAGGTCTGCAACCAACAGGCATCTTCAAGTTACCTCGCCGTTGTAAAGAGATCTTATTTTATCAGTTCGGACAAGGTAACAACAAAAAAAAAAATTGATAAATTTTTGTAATGATTAATCAATGGAACCCCATTATGAAATAAATAAGTATATAATAAGAATAATGATGATGATGATGATGATAATTATTTAATGAAATAATTACTTTTTGTTTTGTGGTCTGAATTTTGTTAAAAAAAATAAAATAAAAAAAAGGTGGTGAGACTAATGGACGAAGTGGAGTCCATATTCACAAAGCACTTCGCCAACAATGACAGGAAAAAGGCCATGAAGTTCTTACGGCCCCAACGGCAGAAAGATTCTCACATGGTCACTTTCTTCGTTGGTATAATTTATTTTCTTTCATTTTCTCTCCTACTTTTGATTATTTTCCTTAATTATTAATTAACAAAAATAAAAGATTGCCTCTAATTATATAGTTTTAATTATATTCATTACTCATCTCAATTAGTAATTAGAGGTTTCTTCTATGCATGGGCACATTAAAGCTGAAATTACTTTAATAGAACAATGATGCTTTCTGATTCGGTTTGATTTTTTTTAAATAAGGTTTTATTGTCTAATCATAATCACAATAAATAATTTAAATATCACAAAAACTAGAAAAAGATCATTTTCTAATGAGAAAGTATTGAGAACATGTAATTTACATTGATAAAATCAATTATATCCATTTATTTATGTTTTGTCTCATTGATTTATATTGACATCGTGATTTCATTTCTTTCGGCAGGTTTATTCACGGGCTGTTTCGTCTCATTATTTAGCGTATACGTAATTTTGGCCCACCTTTCTGGGATTTTCTCATCTAGCACCCAAACGTCTTATATGGAGACCGTATACCCCGTTTTCAGGTATTTAACCGATCAATTAGCACCCCAAATCTAGTCCAACCCGAATCTCTAATCGATCCGAAAACGTAAAAAAAATGCAGTGTGTTTGCGTTGCTGAGCCTGCACTTGTTCATGTACGGATGCAACCTGTTCATGTGGAAGAACACGAGGATCAACTACGTTTTCATATTCGAGCTATCTCCGAACACGGCCTTGCGTTATCGAGACGCGTTTCTGATATGCACCACCTTCATGACGGCGGTCGTAGCCGCCATGGTCGTCCCCCTCATCCTCCGAGCCGCCGGCTTCTCTCCCACCCAAGTGGATACCATCCCCGGCATCTTCCTCTTGGTAGCTAGCATATTTCTTTTTGTTACAGATGATTCAGGTTTTAGGGTTTACTCTTTCAGATACTTAAGGTTTGAAGATTGCAGCTTCTGTTACTGAAGTAGTTTCCTTTTTCGATTTCTTTTTTGGCGGGCAGATCTTCATTTGCATTCTGATATGCCCTTTCGATGTATTTTATCGACCCACGAGGTACTGCTTCATCCGGATTCTGCGTAACATCGTTTGTTCGCCGTTCTACAAGGTCAGTGAAAGACTCGTTACTCGTTACTTGGAGCGCAAGAAACCAGCCGAGAGTTTTGCTCATCCATCATCTCTTCATATATCTGAATGTTTTTAGGTTTTGATGGTAGATTTCTTCATGGCCGATCAACTCACCAGCCAGGTAATTACAACGAGTAATTATGATTTTGATTCAACAAAGCATAGAATTTGATTTTGTTAATTATAACTTCCATGAGCCAAGGATCGATCAACTGGGACTGAGATTTCTGTTATGTCTGGTTTTTACAGATTCCGCTGCTAAGACACTTGGAATCAACGGGATGTTACTTCATGGCTAAAAGCTTCAGGACGCATGAATACAACACCTGCAAGAACGGAAGAATCTACAGGGAGCTCGCTTACGTCATCTCCTTCTCTCCCTATTTCTGGCGTGCCATGCAAGTAAGCTCTTACTTATAAGCTTCTCTTCTTTCAATACAACTCGTTATCATATATATACACACACAATGGCCCATACATACATTATACATACATACATATGTGGGGAGTCAAGTTTGAGATCAAAGGCTTCATGTCATTAATGTTGTCTCGTGGGTTTTCTAGAGGTATTATCGGGTACTGAGAGGTGAAAATTTTGTCATCGACTTTAGGGATATTTTGGTAGTTTTATACAAAATATATCTATGTAGTATTATAAATACATTAAAATAATAGGGATATAAACGTGTCTTTACTCTTGCCGGTAAGGCGGGATATACCCGCTGTTTTCTGTTTCCTAATGCCGTGACCCGGATACTCGAAAATCCTTGGGTCTCGGTTAAAAACTTCCACCCCTAACTGTTACTGGTTCGAATGGCACAGTGCATAAGAAGATGGTGGGACGAGTCCAACACGGACCACCTCGTCAACATGGGGAAATACGTATCGGCCATGGTGGCTGCAGGTGTACGTATAACCTACGCCAGGGAAAGTAGCTCGCTGTGGTTCGCCTTCGTGCTCGTCAGCTCGGTTGTGGCCACCGTTTACCAGTTATACTGGGATTTCGTCAAGGATTGGGGACTTTTCAAACCCAAATCCAAGAACCCATGGCTCAGAGACGAACTCATCCTCAAGAACAAGAACATCTACTATCTGTCCATCGTAAGTACTATGATTCCCATTTTCAGAAAGTAGGTTACTTGTCACGCAAGTTATCAGTTTGAGGTGCTGAAAGAAGTGGGCTTTTCCTCTTTTTCTTTCAGGCGCTGAATTTCGTGCTGAGAGTGGCATGGATCGAGACCGTGATGAGATTCCGGGTCAGTCCGGTTCAGTCTCACATGCTCGATTTCTTCTTGGCGTCGCTTGAAGTTATCAGAAGAGGTCATTGGAATTTCTACAGGTAACCCTTTCCGAATCTTGGTGGATTATATTATGAAATGTTTTCAGAATAAGGTTATATTATACAAAAGTTAAACCCGATTTCTTACCGACCAGGCTAGAGAACGAGCATTTGAACAACGTGGGTGAATTCAGGGCGGTAAAGACGGTGCCTTTACCGTTCCGTGAGATGGATTCCGACGGGTGAGGTTTCAACACAGACACTGGAAGATAAAGATTGTTGTTACTCGAAGGGCCGAATCTCGAAACCCTAATACGAAGATTGAGGGGACGTTTCGGCATTTTTATCGCTCGGAGAAGCTCCTGAGAAACTTTGGACAGTTGGGTTAGCTAACGATTGTCCTAAAGAAAACAGGAGGCTTTGTATCTGTAAAACCATTCAAGTGTAATGAAGAAGACGTTTTCAGTTCCCAGTTCATACTGGTTTCTTTTGTAAATCTGAGATTCAAATTTAGAATCTCGCTTTTCTAATAATAATTGCCATTCGCTTACCTCTCCACGTTCCAGTGTGTAGCAATCTGCATCCTGATTTGGTTTATCGTCTTTGTCGGAAAAGGGTTACTATACATGAAAAAAAAAACCCATAGAAAGTTAAGGGTAAGGCCACATTCCATAAGAATCTGAATTACGACGATAGAAATCCGAAATACAAAACTCATTTGTTCAGATATGATGAGTTTCTGATCAAGAAATCTAGGACTTTCTCCTTGCAATCCCTGTGGAAATGCCATAAGATGTGGCCATGATTGTGATCATTGGATTTACTCCAATGGCGCTTGGTAAAACACTTCCATCACACACAAACAGTCCTTCGGCTTCCCAGCTCTCTCCGTTTGGATCAAGAGCTCCTTCTTCTTCATTTTCTCCAATCCTGCAACTTCCCATCTGATGCGCTGATCCATAAACTGCCCATTTCTCGGTCAAAGAACTCGCCCCGTCCTCTGCGGTAACCGTGTCCAAGAACTCCTCGATTGCTTTCTCGTCCATCCCTTTACATTTGAATCTTTGCCCGTCGCTTCGATGAGTGCCTACTTCCACTGCTCTTGCCGATATCAGTATCCTCAGTGACTGTCTCAGTCCCGCAACGATGTTCTCTTTGTCGGTTTTGTCCACAACGTATTTTACTCTTCCCTCTGTCTTGATCTCTCCAGATCCGCGATCCCTCACTATCGTTAACAGATGTGCGGTTCTTGAATACTTTATCATTCTGTTCTTCATGTCAAGACCCGAGATCCATGGACATACTGCAGCGAAGGAGGATGGTCCAAGAGCCGGTGTTTCTATAATGGCTCTAACTTCGGAATCTTGATATGATACGACCTTATTGATCGAGGTAAGTATCTCGCCCTCATAGATACTTCCTTTAAGATCAGAGGTTTCCTTTTCAGGAAAGTACCCCCAAGCCATTAGAACAGGATGCAGATGAAGGTTCCGGCCTATGTTCCGGTTCTTTAGACCACTTTTGATCATCAATGGAGGGGTTGAAATAGCCCCACATGCCACAACTGTTACTTTGGCTTCAATATGCAACTTCTTTGATATGTTCCCGTTTAAAGAATTCGCCATCACTCCCGAACATTTCATTTTCTTAGCACCGACACCTCTGTTCATGTTCTTTTCTAGTATTAATCTCTCGGCTTTACATCCCGTTAAGATAATAGCCCCATGATTCACCGCATCTAACAACCATGTCCGGTCGCTTCCTTGCTTATCCCCTTGTCTGCAGCCATAGCAACACGATCCACAACAATGATTCTCTGAGGAGTTTCGTGGCACATTCTCCACTTTCAGCCCGAGATTCAGACATCCTTTCCTCAGAACTTGATTCTGAAAACTCTCTTGTCTGCATTTCTCAGTGACACTGATCCTTTTCCAGACAACATCCATGGCCGAGACATATTCTTGAGTCCCGAAAAGCGGGATCTTGTGATCTTCGGCCCATTCTCGCAGCACGGATTCGGGGGTTTTGATGCTTGCCGAGTAGTTCACAACTGAGCCACCACCTACAGTAGCTCCTGCTAAGATCATGAGATTTCCATCAACAGTCGGAAGGATCCCTCCTGATTCATACAATTCACTCAGTCCCGGTCCCTCGAAAGGACTGTATTCAGATGACACAAAGTAGCTTCCTTTCTCGAGAACAACAACTTTCAGTCCGGCATTTGCTAGAACAGCAGCCGCCACTCCTCCACCTGAACCAGAACCAATGATTACAGCGTCGCATTTGATCTCGATTGTGTCATGTTTCGAACCAAATGTTACTCCGAGCTCTTTCTGTCTGATCGTTTCGGGAAGAGTTGAGTCCGTCTCTTTCATAGTGTCCACCATTCCCTTCTCGAGAGGTCGTTCTTTCGGAACGTAAGAGGATTCATTATCCTCGGCTTTCACCTGATACTGTATAGCTTCCCATGCTGGGTTATCCCCATTCGGACCGATCTGCACAGATCAAGAACAAGATCTTTTCTGAAATAAAATCTTTTTCTGGGTTTTTGCAAGATCGGTTTCTTCTGCTTTACGTCAGTGTTTCGTTGTCTCTTACGAATAACACAGGTCATGATTGAGATGCAAAATCAAGCGTATGTTAGAGTACAGACAGACAGGATTTTCTACGTACCCAAGAGAAGAAACAGAAGAGGAAAATGACTTTTATGAAGATGAAGGCGACTCTGATGGGAAACAAAAGCCGGTTTCTGAACCATTTCTGAAGAACCCTTTCCCTCTTCTCCAGCGAGAGGCTTCCGAATCTTTCGACAAAAGGCCAGTTCGGGACCAAACAGTGGGTCCCGCAGAGGAGCAGAGTTCCAAACCTTGAAGACAGTAGAAGTAAAACCAGTCTCACCACAAGCACTGCTTCTATGAACCCTCTTTTGAGCATCAGCTCAACGGTCTGTGGGTAAAAAAAAAAACAGTTACTGTAAAAAAAAAATTTCAAGAAACTAAGAGGTAAAAACGCGAATTGATTGATGATATGAAGTTGGTCTTCGGCTTTTTACTTGACCGAAAAGACAGCTCGAGAGAAATTCAGAAGAGTATTAAGATAAGGTTGAAGAAACAGGGCCGAGAAAAGACCAAAGCTTTTGTCTTTTTGTTTAGAAATGTCAAAAGACCTAGACTTTTGTCTTCAAACTGAATTTGGGTATAATCAACATATGTCAAGATCAAAGTTGGGTAACAAAATTGTATTTTTTCTTTCTTTCAAAGTTCGAATCTTTTCTGAATCCAAGTTTAGACCCTTTTGGGGATTGTTTCCTTAATGATATAACTCCAACGTTCTTGAGATATATGTACCAAAGTTCCAAGATCAGATACAAAGTCTTAACAGTTACAGATTCATAAAAGCATAAGCTTGATGGAGAGAGAGAGAGAGAACCTGATGAAGAAAAAGAGGCTGAGAAGCAGAAGCTGAGCAGAAAGACCGGAGAGCCTCTTTGTTGGGATGATCATCTTCGCCGCCGCCGGCGGAATCTTCCGGCGACAGAGGAGGCAAGATGGTGTCGCAAACGGCGGCGAGTGATTCCATCTCCGCCGCCGTGAAGCCCCGGCGGCCAAATTTTCCGGGATCACTCTTCTCACCCATAATGGGTAATGTATTATTAAATAGCAAGTGTTGTCTATCCGAAAATAATGGAAAGATGTCAAGGTACGGTGCAATATGGGTCAGTTTCATTTGGCACGTTATATTTAATTATTTATACTCAAATACCCCTTAACAGTCCCTCGATGGAATAACAGTGACGTAATAATTACATAAACATTTATTTTGAGGAGAGATTAAAGAATATGAGACGACGTGCCACTTGCAAAATCCACATTTTTTTTTTCCGATGTTTTTTTTTTATAATCTAAAAGTTTACGGATCTTTGACCCAATTACATTTTTTTAAAAGATCGGAAAAGTCCATGTGAATGTCACTTCCTACACTTGGATTTGAATTTAGGGTAAGAACATACTTTGTATGTTGTCTTAACACTAGATCATCTATACATTTTTCAGATGTTATTTATAATTTTTTTTATTTTTTGTAACTAAGCTGACGACTAGTTGGGAAAATTTAATAGAGAAAAAAGACAAAAGAAAAACCCTATAATTTTTTTTGTCGACATTTAATATTTGTATTTTTTAATCACAAAATAAATTCTATATTTATATTGATTATCATATAATATATTTTTAAAAACTTAACAAATTAGTCTAGTAAAATTGTAAAATCCGTGGCAAAAGCGATTAGTTAATTACATGTCGTATCACATCACGTCAGATTAATAAAATAAATAAAAATAAAAAATAAAAACAATAAAATAATCATAAATAAAATATATATACATACATATTTACATATATATACCCATCCGCATGGTTCCCATCCGACAAAAAATATCCAAAATATCATTCTTCTGTTAAAATTACTTCTGCACATACCCTTTTCCATATGTAATCATGTGATCAGAATAACTGTGTGGTCACATAATGGTCACATTGATCACAACGTTAAATTTATGATGATTTCATCAAGTGATTAGTGTAATATATAAGGTGTGATCATAGTGATTTGGTGTTATCGCCATAAATTTAACGTTATGACCAATGTGATCATTATGTGATCATATAATTATTCTGGTCACATGGTCACATTTGAAGGATGATATGTGCAGAAATAGTTTTAACAGAAGGAGAGTATTTTGTATAATGTCCCTTCCCATTCACAACAACTATTTCATGGTTAAATTGTGATTTAGATTTATATCTTACAAGTAGGAATCAATTGGTAGGAATCAATTGGTACAACTGCTGTAAATGCGATAGTAAATTCTACAGTTTTAACTTATCTATATATATAATAGTCTTGAGGAAATTAATATACATTATATATAGTTCTTTCGACATAACTCAGAACTCACGATCCTATCATATGAGTTGTCTTTCTTGTTCTTGTCTAAATCATGTCTTGTTCTTCTCATCATTCTTTGGAACTCTCTAGAGTTCATACACGATTCTTCAACATGCATTGTTAGATGATATTGTTGTGAAAAACGAAGAAATATAGAAGACCCGAGAATCAGATCGTTAACTAGAAACCGAAATCGATCGTTTGAGAGACCCAGGAACGAGATTTCAATAATTTTCTTTTCTTGGAATTATGTACAAATGAAGGAGGGAAATGAGCTATTTATAGAAAATCCGAAGTTACTGTTCACGTATACGTATTTATGAACAGTAACCGTATGGCGGCGTGAACAGTACCCGGCTGCGTGAACAGTGTCCGGCTGCGTGAACAGTATCCGGCTGCGTGAACAGTACCGTAGCTTCACTATTCATTTATAACACTCCCCCTTGGAGCTACGGTTAATCAAAATGTATTTGCGTGTCTTATACTGCCTCGTTAAAAACCTTATCAGTAAAACCCCTTGGGATAAAACCTGATAAGGGAAAAAGAGTGCAGTTCCACGCTCCCCCTGTATATCGGATCAAAGGTCTCGTAGATGACGCATTCCAATGTTATGTACATGTTTCTTGAACATTGTTGTCGGTAGAGCTTTTGTGAATAGGTCTGCTGCATTATCACATGATCGTATGTATCTGACTTCAATCTCCTTATTCTTTTCCAGCTCTTGAGTGTATGCAAAGAACTTCGGAGGAATATGTTTTGTCCTATCGCTTTTAATATATCCTCCCTTAGTTTGTGCAACGCATGCAGCGTTATCTTCAAATAATATTATTGGAGCTTTATTGGTTGATAATCCACTAGCTGTCTGGATATGTTGAGTCAAAGATCTAAGCCATACACATTCCCGACTTCCTTCATGTAGCGCGATAACTTCTGCGTGATTAGATGACGTAGCAACCAATGTTTGCTTTTGAGAACGCCAAGCTAATGCAGTTCCATTGATTGTGAAGATATAACCTGTTTGTGATCTTCCCTTATGTGGATCAGATAAATATCCTGCATCTGCAAAACCAACAATTTCTTGTTTTGTACTTTTAGGGAAAAATAATCCCAAATCGATCGATCCTTGAAGATAACGGAAAATGTGCTTAATCCCATTCCAATGCCTTCGTGTAGGATCTGAACTATATCTTGCTAACAGATTAGTAGCAAATGCTACATCAGGTCGAGTACAGTTGGCAAGATACATAAGAGCCCCTATTGCACTTAAATATGGTACTTCAGGACCAAGTGTCTCTTCACCATCTTCACGGGGGCGAAATGGATCTGTTTCAACATTCAATGATCTATTAATCATTGGAGTACTCAGGGGATTTGCCTTATCCATATTGAACCGCTTTAGTACCCTTTTTGTATAATTAGATTGATGTAGAAAAATTCCCGTATTCAAATGCTCTATTTGTAATCCAAGACAAAACTTGGTTTGTCCGAGATCTTTCATCTCAAATTCTCCTTTTAAATAGGTGGATGCATCCTGAATTTCACGGGGAGTTCCAATGATATTTAAATCATCAACATAGACAGCAATAATCACAAATCCAGACATCGTCCTTTTTATAAACACACATGGTGAAATAGGATTATTTGTATATCCATTTTTCACTAAATGTTCACTCAGACGTTTATACCACATACGTCCTGATTGTTTTAGCCCGTACAATGATCGTTGTAACTTGACAGCGCATAATTCTCGTGGTTTTGATTTCAATATTTCGGGCATTTTAAATCCTTCGGGGATTTTCATATAAATGTTTGTGTCAAGTGACCCATATAAATAAGCAGTAACAACATCCATGAGACGCATTTCTAAGTTCTTTGAAACTACAAGGTTAATTAGGTATCGAAATGTAATCGCATCCAGCTCGCCTTGTCGCACAAGGTTTCTCACAGAGACCAGGAGTTGATTATGAAGAAACTTATTCTCCTGTTATGGATGCGATTACATTTCGATACCTAATTAACCTTGCAGTTTCAAAGAACTTAGAAATGCGTCTCATGGATGTTGTTACTGCTTATTTATATGGGTCACTTGACAAAAGGGCCCAAGAAAAATGAAATGCTCGATTCGGAGGAACGCGTTCCAAATCAAAGAAATGAAGTACCTTATGATGATGGTATAAATACAGACAATGAAAATCATGAGATCTCAATTAATTATATCAGTAATGGTACATTATGGAGTCGAAAAGAAATCAAAGAGATTGATGATATATTCTCTTATAATGTATCAAAGGAAATTGATGAAAATGAGGATCCAGAACCAAGATCCATTTCAGAATGTCAAAAGAGACAAGATTGGATTAAATGGAGAGACGCAATACAGACTGAATTGGATTCGTTGAATAAGCGAAATGTATTCGGACACGTCATTATTAAACCGAAAGAGGTTACTCCTGTTGGATGTAAATGGGTATTTGTACGCAAAAGAAATGAGCACAATGAAATTGCTAGATATAAAGCTCGCTTTGATTTGGAACGCGTTCCTCCGAATCGAGCATTTCATTTTTCTTGGGCCCTTTGCTCTTTCGGGGATTTTTATCCTTAGAACCAATAGGTCGTCCACGCTTCAGGCGTGCTTTAGAATCGTTTATTACATTTTCTTTCATTTGTTCTTTCGGAATTTCGATTCGAGTTGGGACATTCGCAGCATCTATATATGATCTTGTTACCTTAGTTGTATCTGCAAAAGCATCTGGTAACTGATTTGCAATGTTTTGTAAATGTATGATCCTTTGAACTTCCAGTTCTCGTTGTTTTGCTGGGGGATCAAGATGTGACAATGATGGTGTACACCAATTAAGATCATTTTTATTTCCCGCCATTCTATCATTTTCTCCCCCTAATGGTGGGAATTCATTCTCATTAAATTGACAATCAGCAAAACGAGCCGTAAAAATATCTCCAGTTTTTGGCTCAAGGTATCGTATAATGGATGGTGAGTCATACCCAACATATATTCCAAGCCTTCTTTGTGGTCCCATTTTTGTACGCTGTGGTGGGGAAATCGGTACATATACTGCGCATCCGAATATTCTGAGATGCGATATATTAGGTTCTTGACCAAATGCTAATTGCAATGGAGAATACTTGTGGTATGCACTTGGTCTAATACGAATCAATGTTGCAGCATGCAAAATGGCATGACCCCACACAGAAATGGGAAGTTTCGTTTTCATTATCAATGGTCTAGCAATAAGCTGGAGTCGTTTGATTAATGACTCTGCCAATCCATTCTGTGTATGAACGTGTGCAACTGGGTGTTCAACATCAATACCCATTGCTACACAGTAATCATTAAATGCTTGTGATGTAAATTCTCCAGCATTATCAAGCCTCACTTTCTTGATTGAGTATTCCGAGAACTGAGCCCTTAATTTAATTATTTGGGCTAAAAATCGGGCAAATGCCAGATTACGTGATGATAAAAGACATACATGCGACCATCTGCTTGAAGCATCAATTAATACCATAAAATATCGAAATGGTCCGCATGGTGGATGAATAGGTCCACAAATATCACCATGAATCCTTTCTAGAAATGATGGTAATTCATGCCCGATTTTAGCTTGTGATGGTCTGATTATTAATTTTCCTCTAGAACATGCATCACAAGAAAACTCATCTGATTGAAAAATCTTCTGGTTTTTCAATGGGTGACCATGAGAGTTTTCGATAATCTTTCTCATCATAATGGCACCAGGATGCCCCAATCGATCATGCCAAACTTTGAACATATCGGTAAACTTCTGGTTTACTGTGGCATATGATTCAATCACATTGATATTAGTATAATATAATCCCGAAGATAGAGTGGGTAATTTTTCTAACACATATTTTTGTCCCATATTGATTGAGGTGATACACAAATATTCAATATCACCTTTATTTGTGGTTTCAATATGATATCCATTCAGTCGGATATCTTTAAAACTTAATAGATTTCTTTGGGACTTGGAGGAAAATAGTGCATCTTTTATAGCAAATTTTGTTCCTCCTGGCATTATGAAATCGGCTCTTCCGGAGCCTTCAATTATTTTTGCATTTCCAGATATAGTAATGACATTTCCTTTGTTTATTTTCAGAGTAGAAAAATATTTCTTGTCTGTTAGTATTGTATGTGTTGTAGCACTATCTGCTAAACATATATCTCCTCCTCGATTTGCAGATTTAGCCATACTCATTATCTATTGAAGAACAAAATAACATAGTAAACATTAGAAAATATATTATAACATTATGACTAACAGAAATGATGACACAGATACATAACTATTTTACAAAATGTAGACGCATTATTTATGCATATATGGATTATTACGAGGTTGATTACATATATAAACGATACAACTATATATATGGCTTTTTATTCATAATCAACGCCATCTTCAGGATGCGCAAAACCATCAGCGAGGTCCATGTGTGTAAAATCTTTAGCACCACCAGCATCATCATCCGAATTGTTTATGACATGATTTGTCTCGACACCTTTCCCTTTCGCTTCTTTAATCGATTTTTGGTAAAGGTCCACCAAGTGTTTAGCCGTGCGACAAGTACGTGACCAATGTCCTGTCATTCCACACCGGTGACATGTGCTTTCTTTCATCCGTTTGTTTGGATGATCATGTGTTCCCCCTCTATTATTGTTATGGTTTTGGAATGAGATTCCTCGACCACCTCCTCTATTCCAACTTCGGCTAACACCACGACCTCGTCCTCGGCCTCGACCTCGACCTCGGCCTCTACCTCGAAAATAACCACGTCCTCGGTTATTATAAAATATAACATTCTCTCCAGGGAATGATATATTTTCTGTAACATTTACTTCAGGAAATGGTACAGAACCTGTCGGCCGAGATGCATGATTTTTCATCAGTAATTCATTATTCTGCTCGGCCAATAGAAGACATGAGAGAAACTCTGAGTATTTTGTATACCCCTTTTCTCGATACTGTTGTTGGAGGATAATGTTCGAGGCGTGCATAGTTGAAAAGGTTTTTTCCAACATCTCATTTTCGCTAACTGTTTCACCACATAATTTCAAAACTGATGTGATTCGGTACATCGCCGAGTTATATTCACTAACAGTTTTGAAATCTTGAAATCTGAGATGAATCCACTAATATTTTGCCTTGGGGAGGATTACCGTTTTTTGATGATCAAAACGGTCTTTTAATTTTTCCCAAAGATCCTGCATAATATTAGTGCTTTTGCTTTATTTTCAGTTGATGCACTTTTCTCTTTAATTGTGGCACCAAGACCTTTTGATTCCAAGTGCAAATCAGCATCCAATTGCCACGATAGATAATTTTTCCCCGATATGTCGAGGACCTCGAACTCGATATTAGCCATTTTTGCCATTATGATTTTGTCGTAGAAGAGCGTTCGTGCTGATAACGTGTTATGAAAAACGAAGAAATATAGAAGACCCGAGAATCATATCGTTAACTAGAAACCGAAATCGATCGTTTGAGAGACCCAGGAACAAGATTTCAATAATTTTCTTTTCTTGGAATTATGTACAAATGAAGGAGGGAAATGAACTATTTATAGAAAATCCGAAGTTACTGTTCACGTATACGTATTTATGAACAGTAACCGTATGGCGGCTAAACAGTAACCGTATGGCGGCGTGAACAGTACCCGGCTGCGTGAACAGTGTCCGGCTGCGTGAACAGTACCGTAGCTTCACTATTCATTTATAACACATAATACATATTTAGTACTAATCAGTCAACTATTTCATTTTCCTGATCTGCAGGATCTTTGATTGTCAGATATTCCTTTTTCAAATCATCATGAATATGATGCCTCAATAATATTAGTGCCTTTGTTTTATTTTCAGTTGATGCACTTTTCTCTTTAATTGTGGCACCAAGACCTTTTGATTCTAAGTGCAAATCAGCATCCAATTGCCACGATAGATAATTTTTTCCCGATATCGGTACATACGAGTTCGAGGTCCTCGACATATCGGGGAAAAATTATCTATCGTGGCAATTGGATGCTGATTTGCACTTAGAATCAAAAGGTCTTGGTGCCACAATTAAAGAGAAAAGTGCATCAACTGAAAATAAAACAAAGGCACTAATATTATTGAGGCATCATATTCATGATGATTTGAAAAAGGAATATCTGACAATCAAAGATCCTGCAGATCTTTGGGAAAAATTAAAAGACCGTTTCGATCATCAAAAAACGGTAATCCTCCCCAAGGCAAAATATGAGTGGATTCATCTCAGATTTCAAGATTTCAAAACTGTCAGTGAATATAACTCGGCAATGTACCGAATCACATCAGTTTTGAAATTATGTGGTGAAACAGTTAGCGAAAATGAGATGTTGGAAAAAACCTTTTCAACTATGCACGCCTCGAACATTATCCTCCAACAACAGTATCGAGAAAAGGGGTATACAAAATACTCAGAGTTTCTCTCATGTCTTCTATTGGCCGAGCAGAATAATGAATTACTGATGAAAAATCATGCATCTCGGCCGACAGGTTCTGTACCATTTCCTGAAGTAAATGTTACAGAAAATATATCATTCCCTGGAGAGAATGTTATATTTTATAATAACCGAGGACGTGGTTATTTTCAAGGTAGAGGCCGAGGTCGAGGTCGAGGCCGACGTGAACAGTACCCGGCTGCGTGAACAGTGCCCGGCTGCGTGAACAGTACCGTAGCTTCACTATTCATTTATAACAGATATGTTTTTTTTTTGTGTCTATTCCTTTTTTTGTTCTTCTTTTGTCAAGTCCTGACGAGTTCACACTACATATGCAGAGAATAGATAATGTTTCGGTACGAAAGTTTTAAACCGATATTTCGGTTATTTAAACCGCTTAATATCATCAAAGGGACCATTTTCAATGTTGGCTAATTAATGATCCTATATGCCATAGTTAAGTTTCTGTTTAAGAACTTAATCTCTCCCCAAGCATTTAAAGCCGTTGCTGCAAAATAATGCTAAGTAATTGAATATAACAAAATTTCTGCTGCATTAAAAGGCATTGACATTAGTAGAAACCACTCACAATTCAGCACAACATTCAGCTATATCAAATTTTAAGCTTTGGACCTTCCTTTCAAGGACTTGACGATTCCGGTGGAGATGCAATAAGATGTGGCCATGATTGTGATCATCGGGTTAACTCCAAGTGCACTTGGCAAAGCACTTCCATCACACACAAACAGTCCTTTCGCTTCCCAGCTCTCTCCATTTAGATCAAGAGCACCCTTTTCTTCATTTTCTCCTATCCTGCAACTCCCCATCTGATGAGCTGATGCATACACCGCCCATTTCTCAGCGTAAGAACCCGGCCCGTCCTCTGCAGTAACCGTGTCTAAGAACGCCTCGATCGTTTCCTCGTCAATCCCTTTACATTTTAATCTTTGCCCGTCGCTTCTGTGAGTGCCCACTTCCACTGCTCCTGCCGATATCAGTATCCTCAGTGACTGTCTCAGTCCCGCAACGATATTCTCTTTGTCGGTTTTGTCCAAGGTATATCTTATCCTTCCCTCTGCCATGACCTCTCCAGACCTGCGATCTCTCACTATCGTTATCAGGTGAGCGGTTCTTGAATACTTTGTCATTCTCTTCTTCATGTCGAGTCCCGAAATCCATGGACATATGGCAGTGAATGAGGCCGGTCCCATCGCTGGTGTTTCTATGATGGCTCTAACTTCAGAATCTTTTGCCAACAAGACCTTGTTTACTGACGTCATTATCCCGCCCTCGTAGATCTTTCCCTTGAGATGAGAGGTTTCTTTTTCGGGGAAGTACCCCCATGCCATTAGAACAGGATGCAGATGAAGGTTTCGGCCTATGTTTCGATTCTTTAAACCACTTTTGATAATCAATGGAGGTGTTGAAATAGCCCCACATGCCACAACTGTTACTTTGGCTTCGATCTGCAGTTTCTTTGAGATGTTCCCGTTTAAAGATTTCGCCATCACTCCCGAACATTTCATTTTCTTAGCACCGACACCTTTATTTATGTTCTTTTCTAGTATCAGTCTCTCGGCTTCACATCCTGTCAAAATAACAGCCCCGTGATTCACTGCATCTAATAGCCATGTTCGGTCGCTTCCTTGTTTATCCCCTTGTCTGCAGCCATAGCAACACGATCCACAATAATGATTCTCTGACGAGTTTCGTGGCACATTCTCCACTTTTAGCCCGAGATTCAGACACCCTTTTCTGAGAACTTGATTCTGAAAACTCTCTTGTCTGCATTTCTCAGTAACACCGATCCTTTTCCAGACAACTTCCATGGCCGAGCCATATTCTTGAGTCCCGAAAAGCGGGATCTTGTGATCTTCAGACCATTCTTGAAGCACAGGTTCAGGGGTTTTGATGCATGCCGACCAGTTCACGGCTGAGCCCCCACCTACGGTTGCCCCAGCTAAGATCATGACATTTCCATCAACGGTTGGGAGGACACCTCCTGATTCATACAACTGATCAAATCCATGGCCCTCAAAAGGAGAGTACTCAGAAGGTGCAAAGTATGTTCCTTTCTCGAGAACCACCACTTTTAGACCGGCACTCGCAAGAACAGCGGCCGCCACTCCTCCCCCTGAACCCGAACCAACAATCACAGCGTCACATTTGATCTTGATAGGATCATGGTTCGAACCAGACATTACCTCGAGCCCTTTCTCCGACAGTGACTTGGGAAGAGTTGAGTCTGTCTCTTTCACTGTCTCCACCATCCCTTTCTCAAGAGGTCTCTCTTTCATAATGTTGGAGGGTTTGCTCTCTTCGAGGTTCACCCGATACCCTATGGCTTCCCATGCCGGGTTTTCACCATTCGGACCGACCTGCACCAATTCAACACCCAATTCAGAAAATCTGAATATGTCTTAATGATTTCATATTTTCAAGTCAACTCGTGGAATAAAGAAAGAATCTTTCCAAAGTATCAGGAACTGAACAGCATCAAAGATGAAATGGCTTAGATTCAGCTTTCTCTTCTTTTCTATTTCTCGTTTTTTCGGGTTTGACAGATCGGTTTCTCCTTACAAAAGCGTAGATTACGACGTATACAGGGGAAGGCAGAGAATATATACATACGTACCCAAGAGAAGAAACAGTAGAGAAAAACGACTTTGATGTAGACGAAGGCGAGTCTGATGGGAGCCAGAAGCCGGTTTCTGAACCATTTCTGAAGGACCCTTTCCCTCTTCTCCAACGAGAGGCTTCCGAATCTTTCGACAAAAGGCCAGTTCGGGACCAGACAGTGGGTCCCGCAGAGAAGCAGAGTTCCGAGCCTGGAGGACAGTAGAAGTAAAACTAGTCTCACCACAAGCACGGCTTCTATCAGCCCTCTTCTCGTGATTAACTCTACGCCCTGTTATTTATTTATTTTTATATAAAAAAATGCTGTCAATTCAGATCCAATACCCGTGACATTTGATCACGAGATACAGAAAAGGCTAAACCTTTATATATATATATATATATAAATGGATAGAAAGGTCAAAAGATTTCAGAGCTTTTGTTTTCTAGTGTAATTTATTCACTTTCATATATAAACCAAAACAGTGATAAATATAATTTTATATAATTGAGATAAGCTTGAGATGCACAGTGCTCATGATTTTGGTTCGAACTGTACAATAATGCACATGAAAAAAACGATATATATAATATATATATGTATAGAGAGAGAGAGAGAACCTGGTGAAGAACGTGAGACTTAGACCCAGAATCTGAGTAGAATGACCGGAGAGCCTCTTTGTTTGGATGGTCATCTTCGCCGTCGGGGGAATATTCCGGCGAAAGAGGCGGCAAGAGTGTCTCGCACACGGCCGCCAGTGATTCCATCTCCGCTGCCGTGAAGCCCCGGCGGCCGAATTTTCCGGCGTCTCTCTTCTCACTCATCGTCATCAGTATAATTAACGTTTGATATGAAACATGGAAAGGTCAAACGGCGGGTGCATTTGCACATTGTCTATCTAATATTTATGGACGGCCCTCTGATAGAATTAGAATTACGACAAAACTTTGCAAATATGGCCCCATTTTTTCTATACAATTCGTTTAGAGGACCTATAGTTTAATTTTCTTCAATCAAAACCCTCAACTTTACATATTGTAGGATACATATTGAATTTTTTATTTTTCTATAACAGGAAAGATTGCAACTCAATATCCCAATATTCTCCGTATTTAAATACATCACCCGGTTCTGATATTTTCTATTTTTTTTTTGTCAAACCAGGAAGTTCACATGGGCCTTCGACCCAACCTACATCTTTCTGGGCCCGGGAACAGCCTTTGAACACACAGCCTTTGGCTATATCTCTCCCTCCCCGCATGCCTGGATTCGAACCCCTGACCTGTAGGAGGAACACCCTCACTTCCAGTCCAGATACCACTCGACCACAGGCATGTGAGTTATTTTCTATTTTCTTTCAACATATGCTTTTATATTCAATTTGTTTTATTATTGTCTAGTAAAAATATTTGGCATTAAATAATTTCACGAAAAAGATAATGTTATATGACAAATTAACTGAGTGTCAAATCATTTGGTATGCAATATTCGATATAATGATGTATTAGTTTCCAGTAAATGAAATATTTGTTGGATGCTGATTTGAAAAATATAATTCACTTATGTCTAAAAAATGTCTTCAAAATACCAAAAAATTATTAAAACGTATAATAAAACAATAATAATTTGGATATTGACATTTCATATTAGTCATGTGAAAACAATGAGACTAAACTGATATAAATGTAGACAAGATGAATTAAAATTTGAAAGCGATATCTTTCAAGATTTTTAATAATAATTGTAACGCATTTTGTTGAGAAATCTTTATATTTAAATAGTTATACATATATGTATATATATGTGTGTGTGTGTGTGTATAATTACATTGAGACAACTTTCTTATTGGCTAAAAACGTGTATATAGTGTGAACAAGCTGGAAAAGGAAGAATTGTAGCTAATGGTTTTTTGCAGAATCTTTTTCTATATTGAATTTGATTTTTTTTCGTGTGATTATCTATAATAATTGGAGTTTTTATTCAATTTTATTGAAAAATATAGTAACCAAGGGATTATTAGTAAGGTACATTAAATTAGCTGAGCACCTAACTGTCCAAAACATTTAATTACCTCAAATATGCCATTTCTCTCCGACGTATAAAAGAATTGAAATTACGTGCCACTATACGAAACCCACATTGTATAATTTATTTTTCTTTTCATTACTTTGTATTTTTTTTTTTGTATTTTATATATAGTAACCAACGCTCTAATTAATGCTACAACTGCTAACTTATGGAGAAAATTTAATTTCCTTGGTCCGATATTAAAATGGTGTTACGTGTATTCCACTTGTTCACAATAATAATAATTTTTTTTACAACACATGCATGTGGGTTCTCTTTGTTCGCTGCATGATCATGATTCACGTTTTTCGAAAAAATTCTTTATTGAATGCATGCATGGCATTTTAGGTTCGAAACCAATGTTGCCGACAAATTATCCCAACTTATTAACAATCAGTGTCTGATATCGAGTTCTGTGTAATTTATTCACTACAAAACTCAAGAAGAGAATATCAGTTTTCGCTGTCGTTTCCTAATTTTGTATTTTCACGTCGTTGTGTTCGTGGATCTTTCATTCTTGTTCTTGTCTAAATCATGTCGTGTTCTTCTCTTTACGTCTTTGATCTCTCCAGGTTCCAGATCCATGATTCTTCAATTACGTTTTCAGACTATGAAATCTTGAGGCTGAGTTTCCGAAAAGGGAAGTATATATATATAATAACAAAAAGGGTATTTGTTGTATAAATAAAAGAGACAATATTAGAATAGTTTAGAAGAAACTGTAATAACATCGCATACAGATAAGAAGCAATTCTCAAACATACATATGGTCTCCTGTTTCAGATGAACAGTGATTATTTTGAGATAACGTTTATGATCGTTTTGAGAAATCTAAGATGTTCTAATGGACTTTGCAATTCCGGTGGAAATGCAATAAGCTGTGGCCATGACTGTGATCATAGGGTTAACTCCAATGGCACTTGGCAAAACACTTCCATCACACACAAACAGTTTTTCAGCTTCCCAACTCTCTCCGTTTGGATCAAGAGCTCCTTCTTCTTCGTTTACTCCAATCCTGCAACTTCCCATCTGTTGAGTTGTTCCATACACCATCCATTTCTCTGTGAAGGATCCTGGCCCGTCTTCTGCGGTAACCGTATCCAAGAATTCCTCGATTGCTTTCTCGTCTATCCCTTTACATTTTAGACTTTGTCCGTCGCTTCTGTGAGTGCCCACTTCCACTGCTCCTGCTGATATCAATATCCTTAGGGACTGTCTCAGTCCCGCTACGATGTTCTCTTTGTCTGTTTTGTCCAAAGCGTATTTTATCCTTCCCTCTGCCTTGATTTCTCCAGACCCACGATCCCTCACTATCGTTACAAGATTTGCGGTTCTTGAATACTTTGTCATTCTGTTCTTCATGTCGAGACCTGAACTCCATGGAGAAAGGGCAGTGAACAAGGACGGTCCAAGAGCCGGTGTTTCTATAAGTGCTCTAACTTCAGAATCTTTTGATAAGACCTTATTTGCCGATGTAATTATCCCACCCTCGTAGATCTTTCCTTTGAGATGAGATGTTTCCTTTTCTGGGAAGTACCCCCATGCAACTTGAGCAAGATGCAGATGAAGGTTTCGGCCTATGTTACGATTCTTTAAACTGCTTCTGATCATCAAAGGAGGTGTTAAGAGAGCCCCACATGCCATAACTGTTACTTTGGCTTCGATCTGCAGGTTTCTTGATATGTTCCCGTTTAAACATTTTGCCATCACTCCCAAGCATTTCATTTTCTTGGCCCCGACACCTCTGTTCATGTTCTTCTCCAGTATCAGTCTCTCAGCTTTGCATCCTGTTAAGACAACAGCCCCGTGATTCACTGCATCTAATAGCCATGTCCGATCGCTTCCTTTTTTATCCCCTTGCCTGCACCCATAGCAACACGATCCACAATAATGATTCTCCGAGGAGTTTCGTGGCACATTCTCCACTTTCAGTCCGAGATTGTGACACCCTTTTCTCAAAACTTGGTTCTGAAAACTCTCCTCGTTGCATCTGTAAGTGACACCGATCCTCTTGCAGACTGCATCCATGGCCGAAACATATTCTTGAGTCCCGAAAAATGGTATTCGGTGATCTTTAACCCATTCTTGAAGTACAGATTCAGGGGTTTTGATGCAGGCTGACCAACTCACAGCCGAGCCACCGCCTACAGTTGCTCCTGCTATGATCATGGCATTTCCGTCTAGGGTTGGGAGGACACCTCCTGATTCATAAAGTTGGTCAAATCCATGGCCCTCGAAAGGAGAGTACTCAGAAGGAGCAAAGTATCTTCCTTTCTCGAGAATCACTACTTTCAGATCGGAACTTGCTAGAACAGCGGCCGCCACTCCTCCCCCTGAGCCAGAACCAATAATCACAACGTCACATTTGATCTTTATCGGATCATGGTTCGAACCAGAAGTTACTTCCAAGCCTTTCTCCGACAGTGACTCGGGAAGAGTTGAGTCTGTCTCTTTCACTGTCTCTACCATCCCTTTCTCAAGAGGTCTCTCCTTCAGAATGTTAGAGGATTCGCTCTCTTCGAGGTTCACCTGGTATTGAATAGCCTCCCATGCTGGATTTTCACCATTCGTATTGACCTACACAATTCAATAACCAATTCAGAAAATCTGAATGTTGCTTAGTGGCTTCATATTTCCCGACAACTAGTCCAGAAAAGAGTATCTTTCCTTGTCTTGGTTTTGTCTTAGTGAGAAACACAAGCGTAGATTACGACAAAAGCAGTTCATGAGCAAACACCATGGCTAACTTGTGATTCAAGAAAAGCTAAAGGGAAACATATGATATCTTCTTACCCAAGAGAAGAAACAGAAGAGAAAAACAATTTTGATGTGGACGAAGGCCACTCTAATGGCTGCCAAAATCTTGCTTCGGAACCATTTTTGAAGGACCCTTTCCCTCTTCTCCAATGAGAGGCTTCCAAATCTTTCGACAAAAGGCCAGTTTGGGACCAAACAGTGGGTTCCACAGAGGACTAGAGTTCCGAGCCTTGAGGACAATAGAACTAAAACCAATCTCATCACAAGCACTACTTCTATCAGCCCTCGTTTTGTAATTAACTCAGCAGCCTGTAATTTACATTGAATTTGTGAATTCAGATCAAAATCCGAAGATTTTCACTTCGAATCATATATTTAACCATTTTTTTTAGAGAAATAATGTGAACCTGGTGAAGAACATGGGACTGAGATCCAGACCCTGAGTAGAAAGATCGGAGAGCCTCCTTGTTAGGATGATCATCTTCGTCGGTGTTGGAGTATTCCGGTGACAGAGGAGGTAATATTGTCTCGCACACTGCGGCAAGTGATTCCATCTCCATCACCGTGAATCCACGACGAAAGAATTTTCCGGCGTCTATCTTCTCGCTCATCATGGACATTAAATGTAGTGTTGTTTAACGAGGAAAGGTTGAAGGTGCAATGAGTGCATTTGCATTGCATCTATATTTATACATACGGACAGCTCTATGGATCTTACAACATAGAACTAATAACAAGTGTAACACATTTGTAGTGATTGTGACGTTCAAAAACTTCTACATCTTAGGACAAAAAATACTTTAAATATTTTTCAAAGTTTGGGTGCTCTCAAGACTTTTCTCTCTAAAAGTAGTTGTATGTTTTGTTATCCAATCAAATATTTCCATATTTTCATCAAATATTTTTTTTTGATAACCAAGAGGTTCACCTGGATTTTCGGCCCAACCTACATCCACTAGGTCCGGGAACAGTCTTTAGAGTGACCGGTGACAGAGGCTCAAAGAGTAACACTCTCCCAACCGATAAATAACACCCCCCTCCCCAACAGCTGGATTCGAACTGTGCACGGAACCCAGAGAACAACACCCTTCCAACCACTCGCCCACTCACTACTGAATAAAACCAACTAGTTATGTTATGTTTTGTTATGTCTTTTTAATAACGGAAAGACCCACAACCCTTCAAATTTGGAGTAAACCAACTAGTTCTATGCAATAATTTGTAAATCATGCGGAACACATAAATAAGTTAAAACTAATCGATTCAGAAAAACTCATACTTTGAAAGGTTGAACCCACGACTTCAAGTTAGGAGGAAAGGACTCTTAACCAATTGAGTTGGAAGCTGTCATTGATATATTTGATATCTAATCAAAATATTATTAAAATAAAATCAAATATAAAGTATTAAACTTAGTATTTTGATTGGATATAAAAAAAAAAACACGTTCGATGTTCGATGTTCAAGTGGACAACAAAAATTATTTGGTCATATAATATAATTTAGTATTTATTTAGATATTAGAATATAAAAATAATATTATTTTTCCATTTTTCGATAGAAATAATAAAATTGCTTTCCACGTTTTCGAAAAGCTTTTATGTTAAACACAGAAAAAAATGATATTTAGGTTTAAAAGTATACACAGAGACATAAGTCACTATCATTGAACATCTTTCATTGGCAAATTAATTATCATGACATAATATTTCATATAACTTATCATATCACATTAAGAATTTTAATTTTCACGGGGAACAAAAAATGATTTTTGGGATAGTAATTCATTTTTTAATAGAAGAAAATGGTAACAAAAAATGATTTTTGAGTTAAACATCTTATCTATCAACCTAGTTATTGATTTGCTTTTAGTTATGAGTGGACACGGGTTGGATATTCGAAAAAATCGTTGTATTTGGATTTGAATCCGGAAGTCTCAGATATTTAATTATAAGATTTATATCCGTTATATGTGGTTTACGAATATCTAGTGTACGGATATCCGGAATACTTTTCGGATATTCACGGGTACCGAATCTAGATTTATTTAAGAAAAAATAATAATATTTACATATAAAATTTTGTGAAATGAATTAAAATAAAAATACGAAATAAAGAGAGATAATTAGAGATAAATAATAATAAATTTTTTTTTTAGATAATGTTAAAAAATATAAAATTATTTAACCTAAATAATTATATTTTATAAAATAAATATTACGTAGATATAAGATATAATTATTTATAACCAAACTATTCGGATACCTGCGAGTGCCCAGTTTTAAAAATTCTATTACTCGGATTTGGATTTGGATTCGGATTTACGGGTTGAGAAATTCGGATTTAAAATTGGATTTGAATAGATACGAGTATCCTAAAATCGGGTATCCCGATACGAGTATCCGGTGGATGTCCGATTTCCAGGTATTTGTATCCATCCCTACTTGTAGCTAGTTAACCGGATCAGACAATCCGGATAACTTTTTTGTTTAGTGTTTAATTTGTTTTTACTAAATACTTTTTATTTAATAAATACTTTTTAATTTTAAATAAATATTTTTTATTTTATATTTTTAAAATTATTTTTTAAAATTTAATTTAATTTAAATAATTATTATTTATTAATATTTGTTTTAAAAAATTTACATTTGCGACAGAGTGCGACCAATGAATTTAGTCGGACAGTTGCGACCGAATACCTACCGCTATATTTGGTCGTTATTTTGCGACAGAGTGAGACTGATGGAATTTGTCGTTACGTAGCGACCGAATACCTACTCCTATTTCTGTCGCAATGTGCGACAGATCTGAATTCACCAATTTGCGACAGATTACCGACATATAGCCATCTGTCGTATATTGGCGACCGACTACCTACAGATCTGTCGGTCGCAAAGTTGCGACAGAATCACGACCACACAGATTTTGCGACAACGATTTAGCGACCGACATCCATCCTGGCCCGTCTTCTGCGGTAACCGTATCCAAGAATTCCTCGATTGCTTTCTCGTCTATCCTTTTACATTTTAGACTTTGCCCGTCGCTTCTGTGAGTGCTCACTTCCACTCACTACAAGAAAAACTGTAATTTGCGACAGAAATATCTGTCGCAACATGAAGAAGAATCTGTCGGTAAAAAAAAATTGCGACCGATTACGACCGATGGATGTCGGTCGCTAAATCGTTGTCGCAAAATCTGTGTGGTCGTGATTCTGTCGCAACTTTGCGACCGACAGATCTGTAGGTAGTCGGTCGCCAATATACGACAGATGGCTATATGTCGGTAATCTGTCGCAAATTGGTGAATTCAGATCTGTCGCACATTGCGACAGAAATAGGAGTAGGTAT